TCCAAACACATACAGATAGAAGTAACAAAAAAGACTTTTCAGGAAAACATACCAACACATGTTTGTACAGCTGTAAGTGAGAAGTTTGTACCTCATGTTTTCAACATAGGAACTGAGAAAAGTTTGAAACCAGTATGTATTACTGCAGATCAGTCTTACACTACAAGAAGTAAGCCAACACAAAAAACAGTTACGCATTTTTTTCCAATTTTATAGAGATAAGATCAAAGGCATAGTCCTTTGTCATCTCTGGGTTGATACAAAACCTTTCTTTGGTTTTGAAACCAAGGTTTTGATTCATGACCAATAATGGAGATGTAGCGTCCTGTTATATTTATTTTTGTTTATTTCAGGTACTTATTTAGCATCGTCAATTTATGTAGTGCTTTTTACATATATAGTACATTCACATAAGTCCCTAACCCTCAAGAGGTGTACAATCTAAGGTCCCTAACTCACAGTCATACATACACATACTAAGGCCAATTTAGATAGGAGCAATTCTCCTACCAACGTGACTTTGGAGTGTGGGAGGAAACCGGAGTACCCGGAGGAAACCCACGCAAGCACAGGGAGAACATACAAATTCCAGGCAGGTGATGCCATGGTTGGGATTTGAATCAGCGACCCTATTACTGTTAGGCGGAAGTGCCTGCATTCTAAAATAGAAACACTACAAGTCAATAAGAAGTGTTATAATCAAAATATGTCTTCCATGTCATGACTAGAAATGTTTGTGATTGTGATATGTAATGTTAACAGATAAATGTAAGAGGATTAATCCATGTAAAATTATCAATGCCAAAATAATGATACTGCATTTCTGTTACAGGAAATGACCTAAGAGTAACTGTTAAAGGAAGAAAACTGAAATATTTCTAAACCTTTCAGATGATAATACATTTTCCAAGAAGGAAATTTATTCTGGAAGAAGCTTTGCAACAAGAATTTCATTCATCATAGTTTTTGTTGTTTTTTTTATGTTCAATAAAGTTATTTTAACTTTACAGAGCGCTAGAAGAAGACAAGACATCTCAAGGCATCTCATAGAGGAAGAACTTATAAAACAATTGACTTTTGACTACTGATGAAATAATTCATTCATCAGATATATTGGTTTTTTTTTTGTGTGTACATTTTATTTTGACATGATATGTTTTTATCATTATTCAAAAATGAGATTCAGCTTTCGCTGAACATTTGCGGGAGAAATTCACACACTATTTATTTTCAGAAGTGAAAGGGTTAAACTTTTAGGCTTCAGAGAGCCTTTATATTAGTGCAGAACACTGTACCTTTAATTTAATCTGCTGTTAATTAAGCTAGAGAAATAATACTGTCAGTATTTGCCGGCGATATAAGACGACTTTTTGACCCTTGAAAATCTTCTCTAAAGTCGGGGGTCGTCTCTTATACGCCGGTATACGGCATCTGACACTGTTTAGGGGGGCTGCGGCATTAAGTACAGGGGAGGGCAGGGGCTGATGCCTCTTACCTGGATCCAGTCCCACGACGATCCGGTCCAGAAGAAGAAGCGCGGCGTCTCCTTCAGTTCGGCCACTGGATGAAGAGAATGGCTCGGCTGCTCGGCTGAAAGAAGAAGAAGAAGAATGATTGCCGAAGAATGATTGGAAGAAGCTGTAAAGGAAAGGCACACAGGCGGCCAATCACCGGCAAGGGGGCGGAGCCGAGCGGCCCCGCGAAAATCGAGTGCCGGAGCAGCAGAAGTAAGTGTTCTGTGTAGAGGTGCTGCTGCAACCACCTATGCTGGCTGCAGCAGCACCATACGAGAACAGGGTCAGCAAGTCTCAGTGAATGAGGAATAGTGCCCCATCATTGGTGTTACTGATACCAATGATGGGGCACTATTCCTCCCACTGACACCAACGATGGGGCACTATTCCTCCCACTGACACCAACGATGGGGCACTATTCCTCCCCCCCACTGACACCAATGATGGGGCACTAATTCCCCCCCCACCCTAGACTCCCACCCCCCAATGAACACCAATGATGGGGCACTATTCCCCCCCCCCACTGACACCAATGATGGGACACTATTCCTCCCCCCACTGACACACCAACGATGGGGCACACTATTCCTCCCACTGACACACAATGATGGGCACTATTCCCCCCCCCACTGACACCAATGATGGGGCACTATTCCCCCCCCACTGACACCAATGATGGGGCACTATTCCACCCCCCACTGACACCAATGATGGGGACACCATTCCTCCCACTGACACCAATGATGGGGCACCATTCCTGCCACTGACACCAATGATGGGGCACTATTCCTCCCACTGACACCAATGATGGGGTACTATTCCTGCCACTGACACCAATGATGGGGCACTATTCCTCCCACTGATACCAATGATGGGGCACTATTCCTCCCACTGATACCAATGATGGGGCACTATTCTCTCCCAGTTCAATGATGGGGCACTATTTCCCACCCAATGATGGGGCACTATTTTTTTCCTCCCACTGATACCAATGATGGGGCACTATTCCTCCCACTGACACTAATGATAGGGCACTATTCCTGCCACTAATACCAATGATGGGGCACTATTCCTCCCACTGGCACTAATGATAGGGCACTATTCCTGCCACTAATACCAATGATGGGGCACTATTCCTCCCACTGGTGTGCATTGGAAGAGGGGTAGTTTTACATACGGCGAGTATAGCCCAAACACTACATTTTAGCAGGAAAAGTAGGGGGGTCGTCTTATACGCCCAGTCGTCTTATACGCCGGCAAATACGGTAAGTTTTTCTAAGGTACATATAGGAAAACTTAGGCAAGCTTTACATTGTTATTTGTATGTTTTTTTAAAAAAAAAAAAATCATTTGATATACATGTATGGATTGAAGCTAGGGAACATATGTTATGGTTAAATGTTAATAAGGTAATTTGAAAAATGTATGGATTATAGAACTGTGTGCTACACACATTTTGGAGGGAAAATATGAAACATCTATTTTTTTAAGTGACATATTTTAAAGTATTGTACTATAATGTTACAGTTATACATTTATTAAGGGGATGAATTATTTAGTGAAAGGAAAATAATAAGGGTAAAAATATTTTTATGTGATACATAACAAAAGGTTTATCAAAGAATTTGTTTTCCCATTATAGAATCAAATTGAAGATATGTTCAGATCAATTATCTTAAGATCCAAAAACACATGAATGGATACGAAAGTGACGAGAATGTGTATAAATGGATTAAGATAAGGAAAATGATTAAGATTCGATAAAATCGATCATTTTGAGAGGGAAATGTTAGAAGCTTTCCTTAACCTAATATCTAATATCTTCTTATTAACAGTACTAACATGTATGAATGAGTTGGATCTTAATAGAATAATTGAGTTATTATATTTATATTTGTTCTAGATTGGGAAAAGTAAGTAATTAGACTTCATAGTCTGTGAATATACATATGAACATATATCTTGGGTTTTCTTTACATTCAAGCCACACATGTGGTAGCAATTGGTCTATCCATCCTCCCCCATCTATGTAGGGGATTATGTTTCACTAACTAGAGAATTGTAAAAATATATTTCATACATGCTAGGTTTGTACTGTAATATTTCTTGATTGCGATATTTATATATGAGATAACTCTTGTTAAGATTATTTTTTTAGGATATATATATATATATATATATATGTGTGTGTGTAATACATCTAATTTACTCTGATTGATGGAATGTCTAGGCCTTCTTAGGTTACACTCAGACTTTAGGAGAAGTAGACTGGAGGTTTGTTATATATACACATCTGTTTCCAATTATCTTGGTGGGACTACAAGGATAAGATCAGCCCATTTTTAGGAGATGGTGGGGGCTGGATTGCTCTTTTAAGAGCAGAACAAAGACTTTTTAAGGTCACACTTTCTATAGAGAAGCCTTGATGGGACACTTGTTCATACACACACAGATTCACATTATACACACACAATTACATACAATTTTATTATCAAGAACTTTAACTATATTTTTTGGACATTATTTAAACATTCTGTATGCCAATATTTTATTTCTAATTTTATGCAACATTATTATTAAATCATCTTTTTGAGTTTTATGCAAGAAGTGGAAGGACTTTCTATCTGAATATTTCTCATCAATACAAGTTAATAAAATATCGAGACAATACGATATTTTACAAGGAACTTGGCGCTATATTTCAAATTTCTGTGTTTTTGGTTTGATTATATTTTGAATTAAATTTATTACTATTATATTATTTATTTTTTATGATTATTTATTAAATTATAATTTATGATTTCGTGTTTCAAGTTTTATCCTACCTGGGATGTTTACTAGACTCTTGTTCGGACAGATTTCAGTGAGTTATTCCTAAGAATTACAGGCCTACAATATAAAATGCCAAATTTCCATGCAAAATAATGGTACCGCTTTCAGCACCAAAAATCTGAAATAATCATATCGCCAGGGAGATTAAAAGAGAAGTATGGCCAAAGCTTTTTTAGGCCATTTTTTTTATTATACAGGATTTATCGAGCGCCAACAGTTTGCTCTCTGAGAAGTCCAAGAGCTGAGCGATCAGTGGTCATTTGATTGCTCAGTTCTCAGTCTTAGAGCCGACATGGGATAGCTGAAGCAGCACAGCAATGCTGCAGCATAGGGTGAGTATGAAGGTTTCCTTTTCTTGATTCCCATAACTCTCCTTTAAGAACATGTTTTGCTTGAATCCCTTTCAGGATATAAATATAAATACAACAATATTCATTTCATAATTCCTCCTAGTATTTTGTTTCAAAAATATCAACTCATTGTATAATAATATAAGTAGAAAATAATAATTGTTACTGATTCATCTGAATCAGTAACAATGAATAATATTTCTTGCATACTGTACATATACTTTGTTACTACTAATACAACAGTTGTGTTTTGCACGTTTTTGTTAAATAAGCATTATTCCATTGAGATTCCTCCTGTGTTTTAGATATATAAAGAATTCCAGAGGATTGATGTAGAGGTATATATTGCAGGATGTGATGGTAAGTTGACTGTTGCTTGCTTCTTAGTGTAAATTCAGTGTCTAAATATACTGTATATTTTTCTCTTTCTCCATCCTAGTTTTCTCTGCCATGCCTTTTACCTTTTCTTTTACTGTTTTCTTCTTAGTTTTCTGTTTTCTTCTTATTTATTAACTGGTATATTTAGGAATTATATCTAAATGCGTATGTTACCCTACTAGCCTATCACTGTGATGGGTGATTTAACCAGACAATGGTGTGGCTAGCGAACTTTGAGAAGTAGGGAAGATTATTATCCATAAATGGGGTTGATATTTGTATACCACAGTGCTCTGGGTTTGGGAGACTGGGGCAACTCTTTTGGAAAATGGACCTGATGTGCAGACATCTGTGCCCTGTGGTAACAAAAAATGTTCAGGATAATTAGGGGAAATAATATACTGTATACATAAAATAAACAGTTCTTCTGTATATATGAAAATACACATATTGCTAATCCTGTACAAAACAGAGGAATATCTGTGAAAAAAAAAAGATGAAAGACAAGAAAATCTCTTTGAATAACTGTCTCTTTTGTTATATTGCCTGTATGACTATACATAACTGTATGTACTTTGCAACTACATTTTTACTGAAGAAAGCAAAAAAGCCCAGCATTCCTCCTCTTGTTTCCAGAAGAACCCTTGAAATAGTTTTCAGATCTTGGGGAATCCCAGCTATGAGCAGCTCATTGGTGGTCAGTGGAAAAAATGACCTCCTTACAGTAGTGGTTAGAATGCCATATTTACAAACCTTTAAAAAGATCATTGATGTCATGCCGCTGGCTCTGCAAAGTGGCATTGGCCCTGGAGCTATGCACAAAGTGGAGGTCAATCAGCCACAGCTCAAGGACCCCCTAGCAACCTCTGGAGGAACCCTAGTGTTTCACAGAACCCTGGATAAGAATGACTGACATAAATAATGTGAATGGAATAGGCTTTTTGTTTAATGTGACACATTTTACCCTGTGCAGACAAAGTGTTTGGACAACTGGAATCATGTGGTTTCTTCCAAGACACTATAAAACCTGGCATTTGTTTCCTGACAATTCATGATGCTGTTCTACACATACAGAAGCAGAAGAAGCGTCCTTGTAGTAATGTTCTACTAGATATGGTATGATAACATTTTCCAATTATTCTGTACACATGATTGTGTGTTTATTTGAAATGAACATCATTTTAGAGTAGGAGAATTTTGAATTTAACGGTCATACATTTTTAATTTTTGTACAGCATAGCAGATTACATTGACTTTACTTTTGCTTTTTCTGCAAAGTAAATATCTTTTCTTAGATTAGGAGTGATTAATAATGAGAACACACACACACATCTGAATATATCTTTGTTTCTTTGTATAACCACCTCCACCTTTCCCTGCATCATAATTCAGGAATCCTATTTTGACTTTCTGCTTGAGTGTGAGAATATACAGTACAAAAGAGACTAGCCAGGTGTAGAGAACAAAGGGTGTCCTATGTCTGGTGGGTGATTCTGGTGCTGGGTTCTTCTCCCCAGCAACAGAAGTGCTGAAATACTTCTTACATTATCCTTTGGAGTGGTTTGAGGAAGGGCAGACCAACTTTCACAAGTGATGCTGAAAGTTTGATTTCAATGGTTCAGTAACATTAGATAACCCTGCTCTACCTCCAATTAAAGTAGAACTATAGACTAAACTTTTTTTCATTTTGGATAGAGGATTATAGCCCTTGTCATTTTTTTTTTGCATCTGTGTCCCATTGGGGAGATTTACCATCATTTCCTGTCCCATAGCCAAAACAGGAAATGTAAGGAAATCCCTACAAATTAAAGGAATCCCTTGGGGGCCCCCAGATCACCAGAACTAGTGTCCCCAATGGAAGATTTCTATTACTTTTTTGGGGACAACCCAAAATGTGGGCTTTGCTTTACTTTTGCTTTCAATGATAATGGTAAACAGGGCAAATAGAGAGTGTGAGTCTGGGCGCAGACAGCAATAAAAACCTGACAGGTGTTCTAATCCATCTCCACTCTATCCAAAACTAAAAAAAAAATGCCTTAGTTATAATTTAAGCCCCCCAGTTAAAGCCCTATATGTGGGATCACACATATGAAAAAATAAAGCGTGCCAGCACTTTGTAAGTGCCCCATAACATATTTTATTGAAATATCAGCCTAAGTGGCCTTTCTCATAGCAGTGATTACTTTCAGGGATTCTGCTGTAGGAGAAGTGTTGTTAGTGTTTCCAGGCTTACATGGACCTTAGTGTGCAGCAAAGTAATGGATTGATAAGAAACAGAACAGCATACTACCAAATAGGTACAGGCCAAAAGAGAAGGATCTGCCAGCAGCCCAGAATATTTTGGCTAATGGCTTAAATATCTCTGTTTTATATATTCTCATAAAAAAAAGTGTGCTAACGTACCTATCATTTCCTTGTATGCTTGTAGGGGGAGGAAGTGAAGGAACTCTCCCAAATAGGACACAGACAGGGGTTTTGTCTTTAGATATGCTTTTATTGATTGAGGCTGTTAGTGTTTATGTGTTGAAGCCAGATTTCCTTAACAAAAGCCTATAGACACACACATTTTCGCACCCACAGCAACATCCCTCTTTTATGTTCACTTCTTGCATATAAAAAAGTTTTCTCGTTCTACTGATGTTGACTGCATTCCAGCCTTAGTGTTGGTACGGTGACTAAAATAATGCTGTGTGCATTTTTTAGATAAAATGTTAAGAATGATTGAAATGAATTGTAAGCATGATGTATAGCACGGGTGTCAGACTGGTGGCCCTCCAGCTGTTGCCAAACTACAAGTCCCATGAGGCATTGCAAGATTGACAGTTACAAGCATGACTCCCAAAGGCAGAGGCATGGTGGGACTTGTAGTTTCGCAACAGCTGGAGGGCTGCCAGTTTGACACCCCTGATATATAGCATTATGTGCAGTCTATTGTAAATAGAATGTAATGTGAATGAATGAATTAAGAGTGAGGTGAAGTGAAGTAAAACATGCTTCACAGTTAGAGGGGGGTTCCTGAATCTTCTAAACACCAAAATAATTTTATAGGGGTTGCTTAAAATTGCCAATAGCTGAGATCGTGTAGCTAAGATGTATGCAAGTTTTGTATCGCACCTGTAAAAAAAAAAAAATAATTGATAACATTTTCTTTTTCCATTTGCTAGACATCATGCATGCAGGACTCTGACCAGCTAGAAATGAAAGAAATGACAGGGTACAAGACAGCACAGATCAAGCTAAATCTTCAGGAAGAGGCAATCTTTTCATTAATCCTTATTTCACTAGCTAGCTTGAAACACGCTACTGGAGAGCATAATTTATCAGAATAACAATATTCTCATGTTTTAACAAAATAAAGCTAGTGTGGCCTTAGAAGGGCAAATATCATCCCCAGAATGATGGTGTGACAGTGTGAGACCCTGCCACTATGTAAATGGCATAAAAGTGATCTGGGATTCTCAAAGCAGCAGTTTGAGAAGCTCTGGCAGGTTGGCTGTGAATGGAGAAAGTGGTGTTCTGTGCTTTCTCCGGATTTGGTAGTTCTGTATCAGAGCTTGGATCTGGAAGGTTCTAAAGAGTATTGGGCGGGCTGCGGGATGGAATCTTTAATCTGGTGTCTAGATTTGCTAAATGCTGGCAGCCTGTGTGAGTTCAGAGATGTCCAGGGGTGATATAAGCTTGATGAGGTGTTACTACAGTAGCAGGTAGAGTTGGAGTTGTTGCAGTTGCTGCAGCCAGGAGGGAGGTGTGCTCCTGTCTGGAGACCAAGGATATATCCTTGAGACAGCACTCCATGTGAGGGAGGTTCCAGACCATTGGACCAAGAGAGTTGGGCCAGCTAAGAAAGTCTGGGAGACTAGAGCTGAGGCAACTGGGAGAGAGTCCAGGGGGCCAGAGGAATCTGAGTCTCAGAGGGATAAGAGCGCCTGTGGTATCAGGAAAAACTCTCCCTAGGGGCTGGAGAACCATATTTGGAGGCCAGGAGTGGGCCCGTGCAGAACGGTATTGCATTTTTGTTTTGCGTGAAGCTGAAACCCCCTGCGTAGGAAGCCCTATGTTGTAAAGACTTTACTTTTCTGTTTCCTTTTAATAAAAGTGGGCTACCAGCCCCTTAAGTATAGTCCCTGTCTGCTGTGGGCTCACTGTACAAAATGCATCTACCACAAGAGCTAAGCAACCCTATATCACAGTAGACATGGAGTTATCTGCCAGTCTTCCAGCAATTTGTTTGAGTGTGAACATGCATTGTTGAGTGATTGACCACCACTGCCAGTGGTTCTAATGCAGTAATTGTTATTTGCAGTTATTGTTCTTTGCACTACCTTATTGGATAACATTATTTTTATTGTATGACTGAATATATATATATATATATTTTTTTTTTACAAAACAGAAACATGAAGACTCCAATGGCTGCAATCTCTCCAATTTATACCCCAGCAATAGACGCTAAAAGAAGATTTTGCAATCTAAGAAGATTTTGCAATCTAAAAATACAGACCAATATGCAGTAATCAGTCATATAGCAATGAAAATCCACACAGTGTGGGTTATGGAAATGTATGCTACTGTTATAGAATCTGGAATAGATCAATTTAAAAGGCATGTGCAAAAAGTTCTTATGAACCAGGGAAAATACATTTTTTTGGTCATACATCTCAGGAAATATATATAAAAACAATCTACAGGCAACACACCACAAACCTCAGGTTTTTTTGTAGAATTCTCCTGGCTACTGATTTGGGCTTAGTTAGTTTTAGCTTAGGAGTAGCTGGAGTGGGACTAAGAAGCAGCCTTGGCATAGTCAGTACATCATTTTTTTAATTTGTGGTCTTGACCAAAGTGTGCTAATCTTAGTAAAGCAATAATGTTTATGTATAGGCCTTGCTGCTGACATAGTACAGGGGACCAAGGATAGCTAGCCTGTGGAAATGTTAGGTTATTGAAATATTTTTGAATGTGTAGTTTGGAGCAAGCTCACCATAAATGGAAAATCTAAAATTAGGTATGTTCTAGAATTCAGAATTGTGATACATAAATGTAAACCAAACAAAAGGGAACTGACATATTGGAGGTGGTTGCAATCTGAGCAGAATGAATGCAACGTGGGCATCTGGGATTTCACCTAGGAAAGTTACCCATAGACATTGGATGTCTGTGGTGCCTCAACCAGCCATTCTGCAGGGGGTACAACCTATCAGAAAACTGTAATGCTTTTGTTTTCTTCTGCTCACCCCTCCACTCTCTGTAGAGTTAAGGTTTCAGCTTGAAAAAGGTGAGCGTGCATATCTATGCCTACCTCTTTTCTTTTTTCTTGAGGGTGGTTACATCATTCCTGCATGTCTGGCAAGTCTCTTAAAGTGGAGTTCCAGGCCCAGCCACCTCCCAAAAAAAAGAAAAGAAAAGTCAGTAGCTACAAATACTGTGGCTGCTGACTTTTAATATTAGGACACTTACCTGTCCATGCATCCAGCGGTATTCTCACCCTGAGCTGATTCTTCAGTCGGCTTCACCGCCAGTTTCCTACTGCGCTGTGCTTTGTGAATGGGCTGCAGTCCTCTAGGACCATGGAAGTGTCCCAGAGGGCTGCGGGGGATGTTGAACCTTCGGTTCAGTTGACTGCAGCGAACTCAGCCGGAAGTGGGAGTGGGTACCTGTCAAAACCAGGTACCTACTCCACCCTCCCACCCAAAAGGTGCCAAATGTGGCAGCAGAGGAGGCAGAAAAGCAGAGCTTCCATTTTTGGGTGGAACTCCGCTTTAAGTCTAACTGACACAATTTACCTCACTTTTTAGTTCAGATTATGCTAAAAGTTTTATTTTTGTTAGCCTAATTCACACTAGCCATACACATAAAAAATACATGCTGTATGTTAAAATGACCAACTAAATAAGACCCTTCCATCTAAAACACAGTGCAAACATTAATGGATGTTAAAGTAAATCTGCCAGTTTCATAATGGTTCTTAATAGGCTGCAGTAATACAATTCAGAAACCTCAATTGGATATCTTCAATGAGTGCCTCAAGTACCCCAACTCATTATCCACACTAAAATGGAAATTGTAACACTTTTAAGAACTGGATGACCTTGTCCATGTTCCCACAGCTTCTTGTTGGGCAG